ATCTTGCATTGATTCAAGAGAACTAATTCCACATTAGCCTGATCCAAAAAAAAGTAAGTATCCTAACGAAAGGGGGAATTTATCTTAAGATGCCCCATTGTTCATGGAAAGTCTCTTCCACAAAAGAGCAGTTGGGTCATGTGTGTTATAATTGAGGACAACTGGACCAGGTAATTTTCTCCTCATTCTTTAAAGCAGTTTTTTTTTTTTTCTCCAACAGAACCAGCACCTCAACCAAGAGGCTGCCAAGCAGCAGCTCCACCCAAACACATACAGCAAGGTCGCTTTGCTTCCTGAAGCCACACTGTTCTTAAGGATGTGGAAAGAACCCATAGCTGAAAATTAACGTGGAGAATCCTGAGAAACATTGGTTCAGAGGCTCTGCACCAACCTCAAATCCCACCCTTCCATGCTATACTGCACAAACCTGCAGCTTCAGCAGCAGATCCATAGTCCTTGATGTACAGCTTTAAAGCTTATAGGTACACACAAACAGACAGGGAAATGCAATAAATATCAAGTTTTTAATACTTCTTTTGGTGATAGTGAAGCTCTTTGGTGGATACAAGATCTGTAAAAGAAACAAGAGAAGAAATACATACAAGCTCCCAGTGCAAAACCATGCAGCTAACCATGGTGCCTTCCCATGCCCAAACAGGATGGGAAATGAGTTCAGCTATTACATGCACCACTGGTCTTGGAAATAAAAATGATCTACTGCTCCCACAGTTCCTCCCACCCAAAATAACCCATCCTAGTAATTCAGTCTGCTGGATGCCCACTGGTACCTGCCTGTATGTAAGCTCAGCTCTTTGCAATATCTCCCTTAATGGACAGTTAGCAAAATGTGGGACTTTCATCTGCTCTCATTTTTTTTGTTCCCCTAGGAGTGAGGAGCGAACACAAATGTCCTGCTTTACTTGCAGTGGCTGTAGTTTGAAGAGGATGCCAATTGATTGCCTGTTACAGAGGGCTCAGCAGTGTCAGTCTGCACCTGGGCACAGCTCAGGACAGTCCCCGCTTCAGCTGATTCTCAGCCCTATACACACTGCAGGTTCAGCCCACACTGCTCTCAATCTTCCCACGAGAGCCATGCTGACATCTCTGTAAGCCAGCACTCAGACTCTGACCTACAGATCTCGGTGGAGTTTGGGTCAAGATACAGCCAGCTTCTTTCATCCATTGTACTGAAAGGACAGGACATTCTCAGGCTGCTGGTGCAGTGAACATGAAAAGACAGCATGAACGACAGCAGTCTCACGTGCCCCAACTCACCACACTAAGCTACCAGGCTGCCTATAAAATAACAAGTTGCAGAGCATGCCGTGCACATGAACCATCTGTAGGTCCTTCCATCAGGGTAGGTGGGAAGGATCCCATGGATCAGTGTAAGGAGTTCAGAAAGCTCAACCCGTACCCTTCAGCTATTCTGGTGTGAGGACAGTATCTTGGGAAAGGCCAATGCATTAACGGCAAACAGCAGCACAACAGGAGATGGACCTTCATCTTGTTTGCAGCATCTTGTTCAATAAGCAAGAAGGGGCAGCAAAACTTTGCTCTCCCACCATGCTGTGACTACCACATGGGGAATTTGAGGAGCTTTGTGCTGATGGGAACTATGTACCAAAGACCCCTGCATCCAGACTGTTCTGGGAAAATGTGGTCCTAGGTCTTAGCTCTGAGGTTCCTTTACTATCTCAGTTTTGGAACAGTTTAAAATCTGGAGGCTGCTGGCCTGCTCTGACTCCCTCTCTGTTAACAGCTGGTTTCTTGGGGACATCCCAGCAGGTTTCTCGGGGACATCCCAGCAGGTTTCTCAGGGGCTTTTTGATATCTGAACAAGGCATTTCATGCAAAGCAGAAACTCGGTGATTTTTGATAGAAGTTTCCTGGGGTAGATTGTTTGGACAATGCAGCAAAGAAATCTGAGCTTTGTAGTAAGGACAGCGTGACGCTGAGAGCGCAGTGTCCCCTTCTGGCAGCAGCCACGTACTGAATGGGGCCCATGCAGAAGGACTGGGCAGAGAAGGGAGGCACTAGGAGGGAAGCATTTCTACAAAGGGACATCCAGGTGAAGAGCGCTAACACCAACCTGCTGGAATCTGCTGCCCAAGGGAATTCATTCTCCAGCTGCCTTGGATACTGCATGCCGCCTGTGTGCAGGCAGAACAGAGCAGAACCCAAAGTCTGGCACTGAAATCACTAACGGACCCCGGGGGTCGACTTCTAGGGTAGGAGACACACACGATTGAAGAACAGGCAGCATCCTGGTCAAAACTTTGGCCTATGGCTCACCCAAAAACCCTGGCATTCCCCTCCAAAGAAGGATGCCGGGCCAGTGAGACTGTGGAGCTGTGAATCACGGAAAGCCCCAGCGGTGGAGTCAGGACGCACACTGAGGGGCACCTCCATAGCCACGTGTGTTGGGGCAAGAAGCAAGAGCCACCAATATCTAACTCAGAAGTGGACACACAGTTGGCTGAGACTCACATTGTCCATCCCAGCACTTAAGCCCTCTTTCCAGCTCATGTTGCCTGCAAGGTCCCCTCCTGTATCTGAACCCCACCAGCGAGCATTGCTTTGGTCTAAACCGTCTTTCAGACCCTTCCATCCCGCACCCTCAGCACGTTTTTGTTTCTCTAAAGTCCATCTCTCTGCCCCTCACTCCCCTGTTTAGCTATGTCCCAGGATACCTTCATGGCAGTTTAAGACTTCTCTCAGTGCTCTACACGCAGCTCTCTTTGCCTCTGTGGTACCACCAGGCTGACCTGGGCTATACACCACTGACTCCCACCATCAGCTGCCAAGCCCCATCCAGCAGACACTGCATTCTTCCACTGCCTGATCCAGCTTCTCCTCCTTGGGGTCTGGATGGATCAGCACAATCACTAGCACATCTGGCAGGCAGGGGAGGAGGTTCTTCACATCCCAGAGGGCCTCATCCAGGTAATCCCGCTGCATGAGATCCTTCAACAGAGTGTCTGACCACAGCATAAAGATCAGGTGTGGCTGAACCTTCTTCTCCTCCTTCTCTACCATCTTTGCCTGCTGTCGTTTAGCCTTGATGTTACCTGTGCCACACAGGTCCTGGACAAAATCCATCAGCACTGAGGGAGTTTCCACATTTTCATCATGCACCTCCATCACCACCACCTGTCCGTTCCACCACCCCACGACATCCATCAGGCTGAGGAGCTCCCAGGTGGTTTGGTCCACGAAGCAGCAGCCAGGAGACTCCTCCGAAGCCATGGCTTCCTATAGCACCTCAGCTGACTGCACTGCTGGGGGAGGGAGTGGAAGGGGTTTGCTGTAGCAAAGGCACCTGCACCACAGGTGCAAGCAACAAGCACGCTGGTTTTGGTGGGGCCACCTGAATGTGAAAGGAAATCGGTTTTGACACAAAGATTCAAAAAATTGTAGCCATCTGCTGTTCCATGTTGGACCTCCCAGGAACAGGCTTTGTACCTCAGCAGTCTGGTACAATAAAAGAAGGTGAAAGGTGAGAGAAAATTGATCATTATATATTCTTTGGCATCTCACTTCAAACTCAAGGGCACTTAATACTTTCTCATCAGCAGAATCCAAGCACGCAATAAGGACCATGGTCCTACCAACCTGCTGTTACAGTCCCATTTGTCCACTACCTTTCCTCCTCCTTCCTCCAGTAATGCCCAAAACCAGAAATCCAGTTTACACTCCACCCCATCCTTTGAATCCTATGTGCATGGCCTGTTGGTAGACTAAAACACTGCTTGACCTGACCCAGTGCCCCATAAGCTGCAGTTTCTCTCCAGCCACATTAAACCCCCCCAGTTTTCTGCTCTCCTGCTGTTGGAGGACAGTAGCAGCAGGTTTAGGTCTTGAAGCAGGTCAAAGTGAGACACTTCCTATACCAGAATGTAGCAGCCAAGCTGTTTTTCTTTGAACTGCCATCCAAAGCAAAGCCTTGACTTACCCAATAGCACACTCCCAATACACGACTCCTCCTCCTCCTTCCGAAAAGGATTATTCATGGGACACCAGCCCACAGCAGGAGACAGGGGATGAGCCAAGCCCCCCGCCCAGAGGGCAGCGTTTCCTCACAGGGATGGAGTGACCTGCACTGGAGCAGGACAGAGGGAAGGTGGAAGTGACGACTCACCTGCCCTATCACCTAGGGACACTTCTCAAGTGATGCAACAACTACATGGAACCAGTGGTATTGCTTGCCTAGGGTATCGACAGGTTATTTTGGGACTGTGACATCAACAGTAACCATGCAACCCTGCAGCTGCCTGAAATCTCCCTCAAAATTACCCAGTACTCTTGAAGGATGTACTAAGAAATGGAAACTTGCACTTTAATATCTTTCAATTCATTTTTCACCACCTTCTTGTTCAACAAACCTTGAAGAACACATGGAAGTGACTCAAGTCCGATGGAAGAACCCTCCCCACCCCACAGTACATGCTGCTGTGAGAAGCCTGGCCAGGAAACCAGCAAACATGAACACGCATGGGCGAGTTGTGTGATCAAACTGTGTCTAAATGAGTTTCATAGAGCAGATGCTACAGGTACACACACTGTCCAGCTTGTCATTCTTCTAGAGCTGCTACTTTCAGACCTGAGAACTTAACACCTATGAGGATTTTTTGTCCCACTGCACTGTTTTTCCTCGACAACAGTACAAGAGAAACAGGAACAAGAACTTTTCCTCTACTAGGTAGCAAAGGATTATTTCTGATGCTCTATATAAAGCTTGTGTGGGGTTTCTGGGTTGTCAACACTTATTGCTTAGCCCTGCAAACCATTTGGGTTCTGTGACGGGAGGTGCAGCCAGGCTGCAGTACAGGCTGTCAGTTCAGACTTGTCTCTGTAGTGCAGTCTGCTCCAGAACGCCCTGCCAAGCACAGGTCACATCTCCCTTTCATCCTTGTGCTGTCAACTGCCATACACTACTGAAAAAAGAACGAAGGCCCTCAAAATAGGTGGAGGGGATAAAAAGAGATGTACAAAATTAAAACAGATTTTCCATTTTATTTCCAGTAAAAATTTAGATCCTAGATGGATACAGCATCTGTAAAAGACAAGAACAGATAGAATAGTGTTAGAAATCTCGTTAGCGGGCTGGGCTATTTTAAACCCAAGTTCTGCAGTTACAGTCTATCATCAATCTCTTCAGCTGCTCCAAAAGCGGCACACCCCACCCCATTTACACCAAAGGAGTCCAAGAATGGCAAAGCCTAACTAGTTTGTTGAGCTGGTGTACGACCTCGCTGGTGCGGAGCCTGCCCCGGCACTCGGCCCGCCTGCCCACTGGCAGGAGTCCTCCTGGGACCAGCTCCAGGACTGAACGCACTGCTCCTACAGTGCTTTTGCTAAGGTGCAGGAGAAAGGCAGGAGGGAAGGACTCCACCCCTTGATACTCCTCTTGACGTCATTACTAGGGAAGTATGGCATCAAAACTCTACACATACAAGATCCAAGGAAAAAAACTCAACTATTTTAGAAGGGAGCTGAGAAAAAGTCCTAGAACTCAAAGAGCCTTTGCAGGCAACCTGAGCAAACATATGAACCCCCTGACCACCAGATGATCCCCTCAGCATAAGCAGCCAGCTACAAACCTCTCCTGAAGGAGCACTCGCCACAGAGCCAGGCTGAACACACAACAGCAACAGAACAAAGCCACGGTTCAAGTTTCCCTCACGCCACCCGGGAAACTGCCGGTGAGTACCCTCTGCCTGCTGCTCGTGCTCAGCCAGCGCACTTACCACCCGGATCCTGTGCCCGATGGCCTTGGCGGGGAGGTTGGAGCGGAACTTGGCGCGCACCATGCCGCTGTTCCCGTGGGCGCGGGTGACCTTCCCCCAGATCACCCGTGTCCGGTTGGGCTTGCCCCCGGGGGTCACCGTGTTGCTGAGGAGAGAGGGGAGAGCACTGAGCACACCAGCCACAGCTCCATCCCAGCCCGGCCAGGGACCAGACAGACAATGCAGCCTCTTCAGGGCACCTCATAACTTTGTTCCGCAGCTATCCTTCTCTGGTCTACCTTCCACTTCTATCTCCCTGTGCAATTTGCCAGGACTGGGATTTTTCACTACACCTTCCGAAGGGGTAATTCCTGCAGCTTGTCATTTATCAGAACCTCCACTGGAGAACTATTAACAAGTTACAAAGCTTATACATTTGGAAAACACTGATGCTAACAGGATTAAACCTAAACCTCATTGATTTCAGCTCCAAAGAAAACACAATACATTATTTGTTAGACTTCTCCCGTCGGAAAAAAAAAGCAGGAGAGGGCCAAGCCATTTGGATAGAGTTTAGAAGAGCCACATGCCATATGGGAAATGATGGTGGTCACGTTAACAGTTTAACCAATGTTATTGAAGGCAATTCTGAACTCCTGTATCTGACCTGTAACAACTACATTCAAAAAAACCCAAGCAGAAGGTACCAAGTAACTGTTCTCGAGGCCTCCACCAGCACCAGCACAGTAGTAGTGACAGTGCTCCAACACAGGCCAGCAGAAGGCAGGATGCAAACTCCTCCAGGCTTCACAAGGTAATCCTGCTGTTTGAGTAACTCAGTAGCTGACAGGACCCAACACAAATTCACCTCACTTCAATACACTCAATCAACCTACCTTCAGTTTTTGCCACTCTCTGGCAAGATTTATTTCTCATCCCATTTGATGTGTTGTTCACAACAGCAGATGATTACTTCACATCACTGTGTAATCATGGAATGCTTTGGGCTGGAAGGGACCTTTAAAGGCCATCTAGTCCAAGCCACCTGGAGTAAGCAGGGACATCTTGAACTAGATCCGGTTGCTCAAAGCCCCATCAAGCCTGACCTTGGAACATTTTCAGGAATAGGGCCTCCAACACCTCTCTGGGCAACTGTTCCAGTGTTTCACCACCCTCGCGACGAGTTTCTTCCTAATGTCTAATCTAAATCTACCCTGCTCGAGTTTAAAACCATTGCTCCTTGTCCTGTCACTACATGCCCTTGTAAGCAGTCCTTTCCCAGCTTTCCTGTAGGCCCCTTCAGGTATCTGAGGGCCACCACAAGGTCTCCCTGAAGCCTTTTCTTCTCCAGGCTGATCATGCCCAGCTCTCTCAGCTTGCCCTCAGAGGAGAGGTGCTCCAGCCCTCTGATAATTTCTGTGACTTCCTCTGGACCTGCTTCAATAGGTCCATGTCCCTCTTGTGTTGAGGGCTGCAGAGCTGGATGCAGTACTCCAGGTGAGGTTTCACTAGAGCAGAGGGGCAGAATCACCTCCCTCCATCTGCTCTGCTGGCCATGTTTCTTTTGGTGCAGGCCAGTGTGTGATTTGCCTTCTGGGTTATGAGCATCCACTGCTGGCTCAGGTCCAGCTTTTCATCCACCAGCACCCTCAAATCCTTCTCCACAGGGCTGCTCTCAATCCCTTCACAAGAACTGTCCTGACCCAGTTGCAGGACCTTGCATTTGACCCTGCTGAAACGACA